CAATGAAGAGACACAAAACAAGATAAATCAATATGGGTATGGTGTTTCCGTTAGAATATCTTCTGCAAAATAACAAAAATTCAAGAGACAAAAAGACGAGCATGATAGACCCAATCTATTATGTCTGTGTGTGTGTGTGCGCGTAGAGTCGCAATTGAAAATAATGAAGGAAAAAAATCAAGTGAACGAGAGGCCAATCAACATACCAGACCTACTGGAAGATATTACAGGCAACCCCATGAAATTGCAAAATATATGAGCAATGAGTGGAGCAGCTAGATGCCCTGCAATATCACAATGTATAATTAACACAGGCAAATAAGAATCAGACAAAAGTCTATGCAGCCCACATTATTTTATCATGGAAGGATTACTAACCAGTACGGACAAGAAGAAATGATGCATACGCCCCAAAGATGATGGTGTACCCTAGCTGGAAACCTGAAAGAACGAGATGATGCATGGATAGGTCAATGTAAATTTCTGCCAGTGATCTTTACTTTCTGCAAGGAAAACAAAAGCACGTTTATATACCTACAACTTGACAAGCTTTGGGAAAACTGCATTTTTTCTGGACATACAACTCCAGTAAGTGATTCAAATGAGCTGCAATGAAAAAAGAAAGTGTTGTTAATAAAGCCGTGCAAAGAATAATAACCTATATAAAACCTAAGCTTATGCATACTAAGAAATTCTGTTGTTACCGGCTCTAATTTGTAGTTTCAGTAGCCTATATTCAAAAACGTGGGTAGATACAAACAACACTGCTTACCTAAACTGAAAAATATTGGACAAAGAAATACCACAGCGTAGGTACTGAATCCTCCACACAGTAGCAAAGGAATCATACAAGCTCGGAATACCAACTCTTCCGTAAGTGGTGCCTGTTGAGAAACGAAAAGCTCGAATCACATAACTTTTGGAAAATCTTAGCTCTGTATGCAACCAGAATTGAGAACAAGGGAAGATTATCAGAAGCCTAATAGCTGAGCAGAAGGAAGAAAGGAAAAAAGAAAATACTTTACTGATTATTTTTTTACCAAAAGATAACGCTCATAGGATACTGGTTTAACCGAGGGAATGTAGGTAAAACACTTATTCATATTATCGTTACTAAAAAGAGAAGAATACTAACCACAACATAGTTACGCCAGGCTGACACAGAGTAAGTTGTTGAAACTACCCAATCTATAATCTTCAATAAAACGCTCTTGATATATATCACTGATAGACTCCCGAGACTTAAATGCTCGTTGCTTGCATCGAACATTGATAAAAGTCTCAGAGTAAAGGTCCCAGAGTACATGAGGGAAGTCAATAAAAGAGGAAAGACCAAAGCTTGCCACTGTGAACAGAAAATTGCATTCAGCATCAATCATCCTTTTTCTTAAATCTGCAACTCATAAAATAATATAAATAGAGAATGGAACGTCCAAGAATACATTGGCATGCCTTAATATCAAAATATTTTTTTCATAAAGAAAACTTACGCTATGATCCAGTCTGATTCCATAAACACCAAGCAGTATCGATGTATCCCACTTTCCTATCTAGTAAAAAAAAGGGGGGGAAACATAATAAGATAATCATTTGAAGAAAAAGTAAAAATGGTTAGCTATGGACAAGTCATTAGCAAACAAGAGGCTGGTCTATTAACTGGATTGCAATTTGCAAAAGACTAAAAAAACCGGAAGTTACTTCATGCCAATTACTAGCAATAGTATTGCATAGATTACCAAGTCAACAATGACTACTACAAAATTGGATAGAACAAAAACAACTTAGTTTAGTTCTATACAAACTATTAAATGGAAACATCACATGAACAAACACATGGCAGGAAACAATTAACTTGAAAGCAACAAGGATCAAGAAAAGGTTTGCAGAAAAAGGTTCCGGGGTTAGGGACTTGTGTTCTCAAGAACTTTCTGGGCTGGACGATTTAAAAAAACTCATTCGTGTAAGCAAACTAATAAATTCTTAACTGAGGAGGCTACAATTATTCTATATTGTTATGCAACTTTGAGCAAAGTACATATCAGAGATAAGTGCATCTAAGATGTGTTCAGGCCTGGCTTCTTTCAAGGAACAAAGCAACTTGCATTCTCAGTTTCATTTAGGAGCTGCTTCACATTAAAGAACAGCATTGCTGGAGTACAACTCCCAGCTGGTCAATACCAGCATACACTCTATTTCAAATTTAGTTCAATTTTTCCTATAGCCACCTATGGAGACGAAAAACAGTAAAACTCTAGACTAAGTGAGTGAAAAATTAAGAGAAGTACTAAAATATATGAACTCTAGCTCAAAGGAACACATCAAAAAGCAGAAATTGAATATATACAGAGTGGACACACACACATACACCCCAAAACGTTAGGGTGCGATAAATGGAACTTACGGGGAGGATGAGAGAGCAGAGAACGAGGGAAACGACGGAGGACACGGCTGCGCACGCGAAACGCCGTATCATGAAGGATTTAAAAGAATCCGGCGGGGGTAATCGGAGAATCAGCGCCGGGAAATATAGAACCGCAACATAGAAAACAGCCATGGCAGCGCACGCGGCCACGGCCGCAGACTTCGGCAGACCGCCGCCGCCTTGCTGCTGGTCCATCGGCGTCGGGGCACCGTAATCAATCGGTAAAGTTCAACTGAATCCCGCGAGTATGTCGGTCGCAGACTCGCACGCTGCTGCTGGGAGTGTTGACTTGCAGTCTCTGAGGGAATTGATCCGAAGTATGGGCTGCGTTGCGTCGGGTTTTCATTATGTTGGGCCAGTGTGATTAGTCTTTTTGACAATCAATTTAAACAAACCCAATTATAAGCTTACGTTTCAGAGAAACTGGTTTTACCAATTGGGTCAAGACTGAAGGTAAGTCATATGGGCCAAACCCAATTCTGTATGGGGTAAGTGCACACTTCCCAATATAATGTTTAAAAAATCCACTTTCTAGAGATGTTTACTATTGTCATCAATTTTATTGTTACAAAAGTTTTTATTGCAACAGATATCAATCCTATTCTCTCTCCCATCAAAAGTATTAAAACAAGTAACAGCCCCTCTAAACAAGGAACTCCAAAGTACACAACACTACCTGAGCATCTCCCATGCTCAAATGTTGTTGCGGTAAATTACATGACACTTCAAAATTATTAGTAATATCACAACTTTTCATCCTCCAATGCATAATGTAATCACAAATGTTGTGGTAATGTGGACATAATTAATGTCCACAGTGTAGAGAAGAATGTGGTTCATCCACATTATCCTCCACACTCTAGCTAGTCAATGAAGAGAAGAGAGATAATTATTCTTACCATCTTCAAATTATTTAATTATTTAATTATTTGTTCTACTTCTTATTAAAATTTTAATATTTGGTAAGTAGATAATATTGTAGATATACTATATTGTGCATTGGAGATGATTTTTTAATTTCATAGTTGTGAACTTAACATTTTTCCCACATGGTTCACACTCTATTTAATTGATTGACATTTGTCATAATTTGTTCAATAACAACAGTAGAGCATTGGAGATACTCTAAACGTGTATTTCATTGATTTCGTGATAAAAATTAGGAAAGTAACAGACATGGTAATACTTTCCGCCGTTGCACAAATTTCATTTTTGAGGAAGAGATATCAGAACGAAATAAAGAAGTTCTCCAACCGGTCTTGCGCATAATAGATTTCTAGAGTCGAGGTTTTAGGGAAAAAAAAAAAAAAACTTGATCCGTGTTGTTTGAAGTTTCAAGCAACTAAAACTAAGGGGTGAGTATGAGTCGGTACGGTTCGTAGGTTGAGAAATATCCGGAACAGTAATAAAATTCAAAGATCATTAAAATTCAATTTCCTAAACCGTACTAAAAATTGGTTCGCTTCGGCTCGAAGATTTTTAATTTTATATTTGGTTCGGTTCGGTATTGGGACTATTGGTATCCCAAACATGAGAGTCATTGAAGAACGGATGGATCTATTGCACTTCCCCCATTTGTTTATAATTTCTTTTAAATAGTCTGGAGAACACTCTTGAGTCGGCTCGGGCGGAGGTGTTGAATTGTAATAATCGAGAACCGGCGGATAGTAGTAGTCGGTAAGTGGAGAATTTTAGTATGGCGGCTCGTCATGACCCGAAGTGCCATTATCATATTCGGCTCGACATACTCGGTAAGGATGCCTCGGATTATACCCACGTGGATAGCTCGACTATGAACGGAGTGACTCACCATATGGTTAGTATATCTCCTCTTGGTAGTTGTTGGGATATCCACAAGACGAGCTTCCGACATAAGAATAGTCATACGGGTCCATCGGAGTACGGGAAAGACACAAAAATACAAATAACATAGAACAATATTCACAAAAGTACAAACACCTATATAGCAAGACAAAGAAAATAAAATAGAGAAAAAATAATCAAGAGAAACAAGAAAAAATAATCAATCAATTGTCGAAATCAAATGTCATACTCGCCTTCCCGACAACGACGTCATTTTGTTGAAGTATAAATTGAATAGTTGTTAATCGATAAGATTCTAAATATCAACCTCAGGTCGTCTCTCAAATAAACTGTTCGGGATCGAATTGGAGGAACGATTGATTAGAAAAAAGATACAATAAAGTCCTATATATTCTAATCACAAGTTGGAGGATGCTTTAGCTAATGAGAATGCAAGAAAGCAAGTATTAAAGCAAGTAAGAGAAATTGAGTGCAAAAGAATCACAAGATCGAAATTAAAAGAAAAATAAAAGAAAAGGGCCAAGCACCCCAAAACCCGAAATGGAAAGGATACATTCAAAGGTTCGGAAATATTCAATTGCCAAACCAATCTAAACATCAATTAATCGCACAACACAATTGACTACAAAATCACTTAATTCTTATCATCCGAGGATGATAGCATACCCTACTCATGAAAGTTCCTAACTTACTTAAGAAAATATCCCATTAATATAACTAAGCAAAGTCGAGATAACTTACAAAATCTTGAACTTTAAACTAAGTCCCAATTCTCTAGTAGCATTCACATGTAGAAATAAGTCGAAAAGTTGCAATCTTTAAGAAAAAGTAAAACAAAAATAATTGGATCTTAGGAACCCTTAAGTCTTCCAAGAGGAAAAATTAAGTAAGAAGAAAATCTAACAAATGAGGTAATCCTCCTACAAATATAAACGACAATTATATTTATAACCCTAAGTGCCACACGCGCTAAAAACATGCTCATTCAATAAACAACTCGCGAGCGAGTGAAGATAAAAAAGTATGAGCAGTCCAGACTGGAAGGAAAACATTAAACAAAAAAGTTAGAAAATGAAGAGTGGGCGACAACCACTATCCACATTTGGATTGCTGTGAGTCAGTCACTTTTTCCACCCCACGCTCCTGTGTATCACACACATATTTTTATGAGAATTGAACATCACTCATCACTATGCATTTGTGGATGTAATTTTTATATTATTTTAGATAGAGGTTTGAAATAAAAGAGTTTTGCTAAAATTTCAATCCCCAAACCAAACTTATACAATAGAAACCCATCAGCTTTTCAAACCTCATAGGTTGGAAAACTTGTTATCAAAGTTGCCCTTGTTGGGGAGATTTATAATGTAAAAATAAGATTGGAGTTTTGAGTGATTTGACATATTGATAATTGAAAAAGTAATTAAGTTTAAAATGTTTTCCATTTGGGATTGGGAAATCAGACCGAAGGACTCACCTCTTTTCAAAACCCTCTTTGAAATCCGCCAAGTCTTGGTGGAAAAGGCGGGGAGTGAGCGAGGTGCGGAAGCCCTTTTCCAAGAGTTTCGGGAAGGACAAGATGGGTCTAGCAAATGCTACGAATTCCTAAGCCCTAGGAGAAACATGGTGCCGTGGAATGGGTTGTTTGGGGCCCATTTAATACCCCTAAGCATTCCATCATCCTTTGGCTGGGGGTGCTTAATTGGCTCCGGACAAAAAATCGTCTTGAGTTCCTAGAGGAAGATCCAATATGCCCTCTTTGTGGAGTTGCGAATGAATCTTCGAGCCACATATTCTTTGAATGTACCTTTAGATTGGAGATTTGGGTGGGGGGGGGATTCGTACTTAGATTAGCCTCCGACATAGACCGACCACACTAAAAGGAGCCCTCAAATGGATAAAAAAGGAGGCGAGAGGGAGTGATTGGCAAACTAAGTTGAAGAAAGCGGCACTTGCGGCTACCATGTACTTCATTTGGAATGCTAGGAATCGGTTGGTGTTTGAGAATGAATACCAAGGCCCGAGTCTTCTAATTCGCAAGGTAAAAACACATGTTTATCGAACTATTTTTGCTACCTATCCTAACGTGCTTGTTGAATTTGAGAGGAGGAGCCTTGGGCTTTGAGTGGCATTTTAGATGCTTGATTGTTGAGGTTTTGAAGTGGTTGGAAGGCCTTGGTGGATGGTCATTTGGAAAGGTGACACACAACTCGTGCACAATTCCTGCTGCCCACGCCCAGTTTCTCGCGAAATGGCCGAGTCGCAACTTTTTCAGTCGCGAGTCGCGACATTATACCTGGAGATGCACTCACTTCTCTGTAAAACTCGCGAGTCGCGATTAAATCTCGCGACTCGCGAGACTTCATGCTCCCAGACGCCCAGATTCCCGCGAAATGGATGAGTCGCGACACCGGTCGTGAGTCGCGACTTCATGCCTGGAGCTGCACGTACCTCTCTGTAATTCTCGCCAGCCGCGACAATATCTAGCGAGTCGCGATAATATTTCGCGAGTCGCGACTTCCTGTTGGACTACCCTGGAACATCCGCGAGTCGCGACTTTCGCAGCTTGACCACACCCTATGTTTCGAGCTCGTTTGGATCCGTACGAATTCGGTTTCTTATTCCGTTTCTTCCTCCGTGTAACTAACGAAACCTTATTCGAGACTTACGAATGACTTATTGCATTTTGTTTCTAGTGACTTTAGAATGACCAACCGACTTGTGGTTGACCTCGTATAGCCTTATCTGGCGAATGAGGAACCGACTTGTGGTTGCCTATTACGCTTTTGTATGCCGTAAACCGGTTGTACGAATCAATTTTGATATATATATATATATATATATATATTTACATTTAATGATAAAAAAAAAGTTTAAAATGTTTGATTGTTAAAGATGCTATGACATCGTTTTATATGTAATATTATTGTTGTACACTCATATATTTTTAAATGATTTACGTTAATTTCATGTTGGAACGTTTCTATTTAAAAAATAATTCAAATAATATTATGTTGTTTTATAATATAAATATACAATTTCTTAAAAAAGTTGGAACATTTCTATTTAAAAAATAATACAAATAATATTATGTTATTTTACAATATAGATACACAATTTCTTAAAAAAGTCTACAATAAACCCACCTGGGGAAGTTTCATCTTGAAATATCAAAATTTAAAAAGAAATATAAATAACAGTATATTATATATAATATAATTACACATTTTTTTTTAAAAAAAAATCTACATCCTCCCACATATAACAGTTAAACTGTACATATATCTTATCTCCCCAACAACACCATATATAAACCATCAAAATTTCCCCTAAATCACCCACAAAGTCAACAATTGGACGCATATTAGTTAGGGGAAGCTGCCAAAGAGCTTGACATAATGCTTCAGCCCATCCAAACTTAAAATTTCCAAAATTCAGTTAGATTAGTTGTAACTAGACTTGTTCAAGAACCCCACAAACCTACATCAATTTCCACCTCCCACCAATCCCACAACCACACATCATCACCCATTATGTATATATA